TTACGATCATTTGAATACTACAGCTGTTTGAGAGTTACGATCATCTTAGAACTACAACTATTATTGGTCTGTGTCAGAGTTTGAGAGTTACGATCATCTTAGAACTACAACTATTATTGGTCTGTGTCAGAGTTTGAGAGTTACGATCATCTTAGAACTACAACTATTATTGGTCTGTGTCAGAGTTTGAGAGTTACGATCATCTTAGAACTACAACTATTATTGGTCTGTGTCAGAGTTTGAGAGTCACGATCATCTTAGAACTACAACTATTATTGGTCTGTGTCAGAGTTTGAGAGTTACGATCATCTTAGAACTACAACTATTATTGGTCTGTGTCAGAGTTTGAGAGTTACGATCATCTTAGAAATACAACTATTATTGGTCTGTGTTAGAGTTTGAGAGTCACGATCTTTTTAGAATTACGACTATGGATAATCTGTGTCAGAGTTTGTGAGTTACGATCATCTTAGAACTACAACTATTATTGGTCTGTGTCAGAGTTTGAGAGTCACGATCATCTTAGAACTACAACTATTATTGGTCTGTGTCAGAGTTTGAGAGTTACGATCATCTTAGAACTACAACTATTATTGGTCTGTGTCAGAGTTTGAGAGTCACGATCTTTTTAGAATTACGACTATGGATAATCTGTGTCAGAGTTTGAGAGTTACGATCATCTTAGAACTACAACTATTATTGGTCTGTGTCAGAGTTTGAGAGTTACGATCATCTTAGAACTACAACTATTATTGGTCTGTGTCAGAGTTTGAGAGTCACGATCTTTTTAGAATTACGACTATGGATAATCTGTGTCAGAGTTTGAGAGTTACGATCATCTTAGAACTACAACTATTATTGGTCTGTGTCAGAGTTTGAGAGTCACGATCTTTTTAGAATTACGACTATGGATAATCTGTGTCAGAGTTTGTGAGTTACGATCATCTTAGAACTACAACTGTTATTGGTCTGTGTCAGAGTTTGTGAGTTACGATCATCTTAGAACTACAACTATTATTGGTCTGTGTCCGAGTTTGTGAGTTACGATCACCTTAGAAATACAACTATTATTGGTCTGTGTCAGAGTTTGTGAGTTACGATCATCTTAGAAATACAACTATTATTGGTCTGTGTCCGAGTTTGTGAGTTACGATCATCTTAGAAATACAACTGTTATTGGTCTGTGTCCGAGTTTGTGAGTTACGATCATCTTAGAAATACAACTATTATTGGTCTGTGTCCGAGTTTGTGAGTTACGATCATCTTAGAACTACAACTGTTATTGGTCTGTGCCAGAGTTTGTGAGTTACGATCACCTTAGAACTACAACTGTTATTGGTCTGTGTCAGAGTTTTTGAGTTACGATCATCTTAGAACTACAACTGTTATTGGTCTGTGTTAGAGTTTGAGAGTTACGATCACCTTAGAACTACAACTGTTATTGGTCTGTGTCAGAGTTTGTGAGTTACGATCACCTTAGAACCACAACTGTTATTGGTCTGTGTTAGAGTTTGTGAGTTACGATCATCTTAGAACTACAACTGTTATTGGTCTGTGTTAGAGTTTGTGAGTTACGATCACCTTAGAACTACAACTGTTATTGGTCTGTGTCAGAGTTTTTGAGTTACGATCATCTTAGAACTACAACTGTTATTGGTCTGTGTTAGAGTTTGAGAGTTACGATCACCTTAGAACTACAACTGTTATTGGTCTGTGTCAGAGTTTGTGAGTTACGATCACCTTAGAACCACAACTGTTATTGGTCTGTGTTAGAGTTTGTGAGTTACGATCATCTTAGAACTACAACTATTATTGGTCTGTGTCCGAGTTTGTGAGTTACGATCATCTTAGAACTACAACTGTTATTGGTCTGTGTTAGAGTTTGTGAGTTACGATCATCTTAGAACTACAACTGTTATTGGTCTGTGTTAGAGTTTGTGAGTTACGATCATCTTAGAACTACAACTATTATTGGTCTGTGTCAGAGTTTGTGAGTTACGATCATCTTAGAACTACAACTATTATTGGTCTGTGTCCGAGTTTGTGAGTTACGATCATCTTAGAACTACAACTGTTATTGGTCTGTGTTAGAGTTTGTGAGTTACGATCATCTTAGAACTACAACTGTTATTGGTCTGTGTTAGAGTTTGTGAGTTACGATCATCTTAGAACTACAACTATTATTGGTCTGTGTCCGAGTTTGTGAGTTACGATCATCTTAGAACTACAACTATTATTGGTCTGTGTCCGAGTTTGTGAGTTACGATCATCTTAGAACTACAACTATTATTGGTCTGTGTCCAAGTTTGTGAGTTACGATCATCTTAGAACTACAACTATTATTGGTCTGTGTCAGAGTTTGTGAGTTACGATCATCTTAGAACTACAACTATTATTGGTCTGTGTCCGAGTTTGAGAGTTACGATCATCTTAGAACTACAACTATTATTGGTCTGTGTCCGAGTTTGTGAGTTACGATCACCTTAGAACTACAACTGTTATTGGTCTGTGTCCGAGTTTGAGAGTTACGATCATCTTAGAATCACAACTGTTATTGGTCTGTGTCCGAGTTTGTGAGTTACGATCACCTTAGTACTAAGATTGCTTTGTTCAAGTGGACCCAGATCTTGTTGCATGTGAAAATGAAACTAGTCTGATTACTTCCTGATAGAAAAGACAGGATTTCCTTAGTACTGCTACTCACAGTCGTCTCACTGGCCTGTTTGCGTACTTGTACCTAACCTTTCAAGCCGACCTACATTGCCATCATAAATGTTTGTCCATTTATTCTGTCTTTGTGGGCAATGTACCCTGGACAGATTCGTTTAGGATGGACTGATAACATGGAAGGTTGTATCAACTGGACATAATACCATTGCTTGTGTGCTTATTTGGCCTGGAAGTAAGTCTTTGAAGTCAGAGGAACTGGAATGGGTTTAGGAATTGGTTTTCAAAGAATTCTTGGAAAATGAGATTGTTAGCGTAATGATTATGGACCTCGGACACATTAGGAAGAAATTGAAACTTGCACGGTTACGAAAATCGATAATGTAATATTTTTTGTTGCCTTCTTTGGAGTCTTGACATGTGTTTAGTTTGAAACAAGTGGAAAAGTTTGTGAATTGAATATTGTGGAAGAGCACACTTGTGATTAAGTGTTAGGTCTTGACATAACGCCTTCCGATTTTAATCATTTGCATGATATTCTCATTTATTTATTTTTTTCATGGTTGAAATTTTCATATTCATGAGGTAAATTTATTTATAATACCAGATTTATCTGTTCTGACATGGAAATACGTGGAATATATTTTCATGTTACTGTAAATGTGGAATATCATGTAAAATTCAAAACCTGCTCTGAGGTGATATTTTCATAAGCATTAGAAAACATGTTCTTCAAAACATGCACTTTGGCAGTATTTCATTGGCAGTGGTTCTTTACCATTATTGGGTAGAAGCATGCTTGTTTCTGATTTAAAGGGGCAAAGAATACCGCACACAGGTTAAGAACTTAGCTGTAGAAATAATTCATCATGAGTATGTAGAACTTGGGATGCCATGCTTATCTGAATGCTCTGTGGCAATATTTTCAAGAAGAGCACGCGCACACACACACACACACACACACACACACACACACACACACACACACACACACTCACTCACTCACTCACTCACTCACTCACTCACTCACTCACTCACTCACTCACTCACTCACTCACACTCACTCACTCACTCACTCACTCACTCACTCACATTCACTCTCGCATGTGTGCACACACACACATACACCATTGCACATGCTAGGAAATAACCTCTTGAAATGCTTCACAAAACAACTTAAGTTTGCAGATATAATTGTACAACAGAAGACATGCGTGTCCACACTGTAAATGAACACGTGTCACCACCGTCTGCTCAGCCTAACTGTCAGGTAGACAATCATATGTTTCCATGACTTCCAGCTGTCCAGATAATTTCCTTACCAAGAAACTAAATCCTCTCTTTTCTTGTGTTCAAACTTGTTTTTGATGTTCGAATGATGTCAAACATTGTTGCCTTCTGCGTATCAGAAACCCTGTAGATGTTACATGACTTCTTTCTTCCGTCTGCTGCAAAATGTCATCACTTGTAGGAGATAGCCAATGTGTGTTTGCAAACTTAGGTATGTGAATCTGCCATTTTACATTTTGTGGAAATGGGAAGATAGTATAATATTGAAGAAAGCATTTACAAGAAAGGAAATGTCAATTGTGTGTGAGGTGCAGGCTACAGATTTTATTGATTCATCTCCCACTTGACGTGCAGTTCCAATTCACTTTCATTCTCGATTTGTATGCATGTATGATGCAATATTTGGTATCATTTAAAATCCTATTATTCAATATAAACAGTAAAAATGTTTCAGGAACATTAAGAACATTGGAATACCTTATATAAATCAATATGTGCACTATAACAATATTTTCCCTTACATTGCTAAGGGAACTTCAATAAACAGCCTGGGGAATTAGTGAAATACAGTTTGCTGCACAAGCATCAGTTGTCATCAGCCCTGAGTGCCTAGTCTCCATCTGACTAGTATCTTTACTAAGAAAGTGTAATCCCAAATATAACATGTTAGCCCTGATCAAGCATTACCACATGATCATGACTCTGATGTGTGTAACTGCAGACTGCTTGTGGACTGATCTTGTTCCCCTCAATGTAGACACCACCCCACTCCTCTGGGAGCGTCTGTAATTTGGAGTCATCTAGACCACTACTACTACTACTAATTCATTTATATAGTGCCTAGTATCCATCTGACTAGTTGCTCACTGGAAGCTGTAATCAGAATCTGATTATTATTACCCCGGATAACCCAAGCTGCCTGTGAGGCGCTAGAAGGTTAATAGTCACGTGACCTATCTCACCGGGTACCCATTTTCTACTGGGTGAACAGAGGCAGTTTTGAACAAACTCACTTGCCTAAGGTGAGACCACATGTATCACACGTGCTTCGTTGTGGGGCAGGACCGAAGTCCTAGAAACTTTCAGGAGTCAAGCTGCCAAACATGGTCACCCATCCAAGGACTCTCCGTGCTTGAAGTTGCTCAACTTCAACTGATTGTGACCTGAGCTCTACGCACAGGACCACACACCACGACTAACGTTTAGTCTCTGAATATATATTAATCGAATATAAACAAATAGCTTCATGTAAATTGAAAAGGAGTCCCAGTGAGCTCCAAGATCCAGTACCTGTGGAAATCTAGATTTGCTTCATCTACATTGCAGAAAGGTTTGGACGGATTGGAAAATAACATGGTCTGTTGACTGGAAGTGGTCAGTCTGATTCAGCATGTGAATGTTGTAATGGAGCTAGTCTGGGCTTAAGAGTTGATTAGTTGGTGTTTCACTGAACGCTGAGATGTGGGAGGGTGGATTATTAACAGGGATATTCTATTATTCAATTGCTCTCTGTGCAGTGTTGGTTCAGGTTCTACCTGATACAGGATGAGGTGGGATGAAGTGCTCTTTGACCCTTACAGATATACCCGCGAGTCACTGTTGACTGTCATCTTTAGCGATAATTTAAAGTCTATGAAGTGAAGGAGTTATGATCACCTTAGTGCTGCCATAGCAACAAGACCCTGGTGGACAGACAGACACGCACGCACACATGCATGCACACACACACACACACACACTATATGCTATATGGTGGCAGTCTGTAAATAATCGAGTCTGGACCAGACAATCCAGTGATCAACAGCATGAGCATAGAACTATGCAATTGGAAACCGATGACATGTGTCAGCCATTGTAAGTCAGCGAGCCTGACTACGCGATCCTGTTAGTCACCTTTTACGACAAGTATGGGTTACTGAAGACCAATTCTAACCCGGATCTTCATGGGTTACACACACAGATAGACAGATGTCATTATACATAGGCATGTGATCATGCCATCGACCTCCGGTTGGCTAGCTGGGGTTCACATGTCTGGGTGAAGCATATGAATGTTGCTGATGTGTAAAACAAGCAAACCAAAATCAGAATGATCATCATGGTACAATTTTGAAACAAATTCACTGTTTCTGTACTCACACTGATGTGTTCATCATGGTAGAGTTAAGAAATAAACCCATTGTCTGTACTGTGTAATAACAGATATCATCCAATCACACTGATGTGTTCATCATGGTAGGGTTAAGAAATAAACCCATTGTCTGTACTGTGTAATAACAGATATCATCCAATCACACTGATGTGTTCATCATGGTAGAGTTAAGAAATAAACCCATTGTCTGTACTGTGTAATAACAGATATCATCCAATCACACTGATGTGTTCATCATGGTAGAGTTAAGAATAAACCCATTGTCTGTACTGTGTAATAACAGATATCATCCAATCACACTGATGTGTTCATCATGGTAGAGTTAAGAATAAACCCATTGTCTGTACTGTGTAATAACAGATATCATCCAATCACACTGATGTGTTCATCATGGCCGAGTTAAGAAATAAACCCATTGTCTGTACTGTGTAATAACAGATATCATCCAATAACACTGATGTGTTCATCATGGTAGAGTTAAGAATAAACCCATTGTCTCTACTCTGTAATAATAGATATCGTCCAATCACACTGATGTGTTCATCATGGTAGAGTTAAGAAATAAACCCATTGTCTGTACTGTGTAATAACAGATATCATCCAATCACACTGATGTGTTCATCATGGTAGAGTTAAGAATAAACCCATTGTCTGTACTGTGTAATAACAGATATCATCCAATCACACTGATGTGTTCATCATGGCCGAGTTAAGAAATAAACCCATTGTCTGTACTGTGTAATAACAGATATCATCCAATAACACTGATGTGTTCATCATGGTAGAGTTAAGAATAAACCCATTGTCTCTACTCTGTAATAATAGATATCGTCCAATCACACTGATGTGTTCATCATGGTAGAGTTAAGAAATAAACCCATTGTCTGTACTGTGTAATAACAGATATCATCCAATCACACTGATGTGTTCATCATGGTAGAGTTAAGAATAAACCCATTGTCTGTACTGTGTAATAACAGATATCATCCAATCACACTGATGTGTTCATCATGGTAGAGTTAAGAATAAACCCATTGTCTGTACTGTGTAATAACAGATATCATCCAATCACACTGATGTGTTCATCATGGTAGAGTTAAGAATAAACCCATTGTCTGTACTGTGTAATAACAGATATCATCCAATCACACTGATGTGTTCATCATGGTAGAGTTAAGAAATAAACCCATTGTTTGCACTCTGTAATAACAGATATCGTCCAATCACACTAATGTGTTCATCATGGTAGAGTTAAGAAATAAACCCATTGTATCTGTACTCGATTGTAGATAATGACCAATCCGAACAATGCATTCTTCAAAGCCAGTAGATTTCAAGATATTCCCTACAATCCAGTCATGATTCAGAGGCAGGCTGTTTTCCCAGGAGAAGAGATAACCCTACTGTGATGAAGCACCTACTGAAACCAATTCCTACAACTGCAGGAACTTGTCAAGGAGTTATAATTTACAGTATCACCTTCCTATTACAATCTGTGCCGATGTCAAACCACATCTGTTATTCCAAGAACTAATCAGATGTTTGTGGAGAGAATGTTTCTTTGATTTTGAAGTGTATTGCATTTGTAGTGTTAAACCGACTGTCGTATATATGAATCCTAGAAGGGTTCAGTACTTTCAGTTTTGAAGAATTGTGTGTCTGTGAGTTTATCTGTTTCTTTAACAGATTCACTGTAATCAGCATTGAAATCTGTTGGGCCATGTAGATTTATCAAGCAGCTCGCTTTGATGTGACAGTACCTTGTTTGTGCAATACTTTATCAAGTTACAAACAATTCTATTTAGACTATTTCCTAAGGGGGAATTGTTTTGTGAAAAGGAATCATAATTATGTCTTTGTGATTGCGTTTCATGTTTATAGAGACTATTGAATTTCCCAGCGTTAATGTGAAATATTTATTCCAGTATTTTGGAATTATCCAGAGACTTGATGGCTATGGAAGATGATAGCATTGATATAGGATATCACTTGCCTCAGCTGCATCTTTACAAGATTATTATATCAGGACTGTGGAAAGAGACTCATGCTTGACACTTCAGTGTCCTTGACCTTTAGTAATGGAATATATAGGCTGAAAGTTGAAACTGGTAGCCTTTGTCAATATTTCACGGATAAAAAATCACTTGCATCAGCTTTGTCTGTGGTGGGATTGTCAAGTTGACAAATCTGTTATGGCGTCTGCTGCAAGTTAACTGTCGTCTGCTCAATTCTGGAGCTGGTGGCTTCTGAAAAATCCTATCTTACACTGACAGATCATGACACTAAGTAGCATTTATGTTTCTCATACACAATAGTTTTATACTTGTCTGGGAGTTTTGTCACTTGCTTGTCGTCTTGAAATGTTTTTTACTGGTGAAGATTGACTTTGTTGGTATACTTCATGAGTTTAAAGGGAGATTTTAATGGAGACCATTTCTCAGACTAGATTTTGATTGAAATTTTTCTATTGGTAATGTTGACATTTAGCATCTTGGTGAAGATGTAGCAGTGTGCATGCACGTGTGTGTATGTACTAGTCTGTTTCATCTAAGTGCTGGTCCTTAGAGATAAAATTCCGCAGTTTAACATGGACACCCCACTCAAACACCTTATACCGATTCTAAACAGACGAACCTTGTGTTATCCTCTTAAAGCAAAGTGACTGGCAGAGAAACAAGTACTATGTTTCAGTTATGTTGTATATCGTGATGATAATCAAACTACAGATATTCTGGTCTTTGGGCAGACATTGCTTGAACTGTTGTGAAAATGTTTGCATTTCCTGTAAGCAGGTTTGATCCTCACATAACATCCATGTATGAATCCCATCATCGGTGTCTCCCACAGCAATATATGTCGTTGATGTTGCTAAATGTGTAAAATAAAACTCAAAGACCCCCTTTAAGCAACAGCTAGCCATGTATTAGTGATGAAACTCTTTTATAAGTTCTTATATCTGATCGTCACGCCGAAGGCCCGGGTTCGATTCCCCACATGGGTACAATTTGTGAAGCCCATTTCTGGTGTCCCCCGTTGGATATTGCTGGAATATTGCTAAAAACGGTGTAAAACCATACTCAGTCAGTCGGTCTTATATCTGAGGGGTAGCCCAGTGGTTAAAGCATTTGCTCGTCATGCTGAAGACCCAGGTTTGATTCCCCACAAGGGTACAATGTCTGAAGCCCATTTCTGGTGTCCCCTGCCGTGATATTGCTGGAATATTGCAAGAAGCAGCATAAAACCATACTCACTTTCTCACTATTAACTCTGATATTACTTTATGGTCAGTGAGTGTCTTCAAGATGACAGGTAGTGAAACATGTATTTGCACTTAGGTACACTTTAGTCAAACTTTAAGTGCTTTTTTAGCATTTAAACATAAACATTTGTGTACTGGAACACAGTGTATAATAGCAATTACTTTGTTAGTACTCAAGACAACAGTGAGTGAGTGAGTGAGTAACAGGTATTTTCACCAAGCATCTTGCCACATTCATATTATAGTAACACTGGTATTGTTTGGTTGGAACTCAAAGACCCCCTTTAAGACACCAGTGTGTGATGTATTGTCACCGAGGAACACATCTATGTGATAGTAACACAGATATGTTTGGTTGGAACTCAAAGACCCCCTTTAAGACACCAGTGTGTGACGTATTGTCACCGAGGAACACATCTATGTGATAGTAACACAGATATGTTTGGTTGGAACTCAAAGACCCGTTTAAGACACCAGTGTGGAAGGTATTGACACCGAGGCACACATCTATGTGATAGTAACACAGATATGTTTGGTTGGAACTCAAAGACCCCCTTTAAGACACCAGTGTGTGACGTATTGTCACCCGAGGAACACGCATCTATGTGATAGTAACACAGATATGTTTGGTTGGAACTCAAAGACCCCCTTTAAGACACCAGTGTGTAACGTATTGTCAGCACACATCAGATGTGATAGTAACACAGATATGTTGGTTGGAACTCAAAGACCCCTTTAAGACACCAGTGTGTAACATATTGTCACCGAGGCACACATCTATGTGATAGTAACACAGATATGTTTGGTTGGAACTCAAAGACCCCCTTTAAGACACCAGTGTGTGACGTATTGTCACCGAGGAACACATCTATGTGATAGTAACACAGATATGTTTGGTTGGAACTCAAAGACCCCCTTTAAGACACCACCAGTGATTGTAACATCTATTAGTAACCGATAGGCAACTCAAACATCTATAAGACACCAGTGATAGTAACACAGATATGTTTGGTTGGAACTCAAAGCCCCCCTTAAAGACACCAGTGTGTGACATGAATTTACACTGAGGTGCTCTTTTGCCTTAACCACCACCTTCATAAACTGCTGTACCGAGGTCCGACTACTTCCATCATCTGAGTCCATGAAGTCAGGAAGCTAGTGCTTGTCTCCACCTTGCTCCTGTGCAGACGCAACAACATCGTGCAACATCTCTGTCACTGCATACACCGGCGTCTACACAACCAGTAGTATGGACCCAACTTATGTGATCGAAACGTTTCCCTGAATGGACAATCTAGTGCATCTCTTCAAGCCAAGAAGCTCCTCGGCTTATTACAAGGTATAGAAATAGATCCATCAGTTACATCAACGATTTGCTGAACAGCATTCCATAATAGGTACATAAGAGGTAGATGAGGACAAAAGTACGTTCCGTGATGCCACTTACAAGACACAAGTATTGATTTCTTGGAGGGAGCTCTCATTATGTAATGGCATCGTGGGCTCCCGCCGCCGATCAATGGGGCAGAGCTATCAGTGTAGAATGATGTCCTCGAAACGACAGCACACCACCAGGGCATCCTGGGTCAGAGTTTCTTTCATTGATATGGAGATTGTACGATCAGCAGTTGTCACCCTTATTAGGGCAGGCACCTGGAGCTATCTCTGAGGGTTGGAACCAGGTAGGTCTATTTAATCCTTGCCGGAAGCATCTTCATTATGGATTATCTCTGGTAAATATTTCACAAGGTATGGCATGGTTATTGTTCAATAGGTGACGGTTCTGTGAGGGAGCGGTCATTGTGTTGGGACGTGGCACTTGAGGGTTTATTGATGGGGTGAAATGTACAGGACGTCAATATGAATTGAGGCAATTAAGGTAGATAGCAGACACGTGTCGAAGTCACAGGTTGGGATGAGGCTTGGTCTGGTGGAGATGTATGTTGGACTGGTTTCAGAGTCGCTGTGACATAGGATTATGATTATCAAGGTCTTTGAGGATATTGGATGGAGACGGACTAGACATTTACACGAGTAATTGATTCTGATTGCTTCCTGTGTGGGGTATATCACCCAGTACAATGTGGAGATTATGCAAACATCAGTTGGACACAGGTGGCTGGGCGTGCTGAGACAGTGTCTTGAGGCATTACTGACATAAAGGTGTACAGTTGTTGGCAGGTATGTGTACATTACCGACATAAAGGTGTACAGTTGTTGGCAGGTGTGTGTACATTACCGACATAAAGGTGTACAGTTGTTGGCCTGTATCTGTATATTACTGACATAAAGGTGTACAGTTGTTGGCAGGTATGTGTACATTACCGACATAAAGGTGTACAGTTCTTAGCAGGTTTGTGGACAATACTGACATAAAGGTGTACACTTGTTGGCAGGGATGTGTACATTACCGACATAAAGGTGTACAGTTCTTAGCAGGTTTGTGGACAATACTGACATAAAGGTGTACAGTCGTACGACCCCGATAATTACCGTGGTATATCCCTCATTGATTCCCTTTGTAAATTATTTACATCAATTCTTAATAAAAGATTAAAAATCTGGTGTGATTTAAATAATATCATTTGTGAATATCAGGCTGGCTTTAGGGAAAAATATTCTACAACAGACCACATTTTTAAACTTCAGGCTGTCATACAGAAATATTCATGTAAAAAACAGGGCAGATTTTATTGTCTTTTTATCGATTTTTCAAAATCTTTCAATACTCTTAAACATGATATACTTATAGATTCTCTTCATAAGGTTGGATTAGATGGGAAGTTCTTAGATATTATCACATGTATGTATAATTCACTCTCTGCCTGTGTTAGACCCCTGAGGGACTTTCTAAACAATTTTCTTGTAATGTGGGTACCCGCCAGGGATGCATTTTAAGCCCTCAGATATTTTTAATATTTATTAATCATTTATGCACAATTATGCAAAGTGAAGGTGGTAAGGGAATATTTATCACTGCTGTTTTAAAAAATGTGTATGCCCTTATGTTTGCTGCTGATGTTTCGGCTCTTTCAGACACTTGTATTCAATTGCAGAAAAAGATAAATGCCCTTGAATTATTTTGCAAGGAAACGGGAATGAAAGTAAACCTTAAGAAAACAAAAGTGGTTGTTTTCAGAAATGGAGGGCCTCTTAGATCTTATGAAAAGTGGCATTTTAATGGGGAACAAATAGAAACAGTATCTTTTTATAAATATCTTGGCATCATATTTACACCAAAACTTGTTTGGTCCAGGGCACAATTGTGTTTAGCATCTCAGGCTAGAAAGGCAATTTTATCAGTTAATCACTTTCAAAAGAAATTTGGAAACATTAACTGTACAGATTTATTCAAAAAAAATTATGCATTCATCACACCAATATTATGCTATGGCTCAGAAATATGGGGGAACTTCTCATTGTAAAAGTATTGAATCTGTACAGCTTGATTTTTGTAAAAAGTATCTTAAAATAAATAGGTCATCTTGTAATTCCATGGACCTGGTTGAATGTGGCAGATTGCCCCTGCAGTTTAATTATATGACCCGTGTAATCAAATATTGGTGTAGATTGTTACAACTTCCTCATGACGGATTACCTTTTCCAAGCTACCTTATGCTTAAGTCATTAGATGATAGTGGTAGAACAACATGGGCATCAAAAGTTAAAAGTCTTTTTTTTAATTTTGGTTTTGGATATGTTTGGTTGAGCCAAGATGTTGGTGATGTAAAGATGTTTATAAGCTTATTTAAACAAAGATTATCAGATAATCTAAAACAGTCCTGGTACTCTTCCCTGAGTAATTCCCCCAAATGCAACTATTACCAGTATTTTAAATCTGCATTAAATGTTGAACATTATTTATCGTTTAACCTTTCTACACATTTAAGAGCTGTTTTAGGTGTAGTAATTTTATAATAGCTGTAGAAACTGGGCGTTATAACAACACTGATTATAATCAAAGATTTTGTACATCATGTAAATCTAAAGGTCTTACCTATATTGAAAATGAATTTCGTGTACTGTTCCTTTGTGAATCCTATTCACAACTAAGAGAGAGGTTTATTACAAAATGTGTTAAAAAGCCTTATACTGTATATTCTTTAGCAAATCTTTTCAAGAATACTAATGAAGACACTGTAAAATCTGTTGCCTTGTATCTATTTTATGTTAAAAGGATTATTATAAACACACTTGAATGATCATTGTGCACCTGACTACACTGGAATTTCCTTTTGAATGTATTTTGGGCCTACGGCCTTTTACTGGAAATAAACTGTCTGTCTGTCCAAAGGTGTACAGTTGTTGGCAGGTGTGTGTACATTACTGACATAAAGGTGTACAGTTGTTGGCAGGTGTGTGTACATTACTGACATAAAGGTGTACAGTTGTTGGCAGGTGTGTAGACATTACCGACATAAAGGTGTACAGTTGTTGGCAGGTGTGTGTACATTACTGACGTAAAGGTGTACAGTTGTTGGCCTGTATCTGTATATTACTGACGTAAAGGTGTACAGTTGTTGGCAGGTGTGTGTACATTACTGACGTAAAGGTGTACAGTTGTTGGCCTGTATCTGTATATTACTGACATAAAGGTGTACAGTTGTTGGCAGGTGTGTGCACATTACTGACGTAAAGGTGTACAGTTGTTGGCCTGTATCTGTATATTACTGACGTAAAGGTGTACAGTTGTTGGCAGGTGTGTGTACATTACTGACGTAAAGGTGTACAGTTGTTGGCCTGTATCTGTATATTACTGACATAAAGGTGTACAGTTGTTGGCAGGTGTGTGCACATTACTGACGTAAAGGTGTACAGTTGTTGGCAGGTGTGTGGACATTACTGACGTAAAGGTGTACAGTTGTTGGCAGTATCTGTGCATATTACTGACATAAAGGTGTACAGTTGTTGGCAGGTGTGTGCACATTACTGACGTAAAGGTGTACAGTTGTTGGCAGGTGTGTGGACATTACTGACGTAAAGGTGTACAGTTGTTGGCAGGTGTGTAGACATAAAGGTGTACAGTTGTTGGCAGGTGTGTGTACATTACTGACGTAAAGGTGTACAGTTGTTGGCAGGTGTGTAGACATAAAGGTGTACAGTTGTTGGCAGGTGTGTGTACATTACTGACGTAAAGGTGTACAGTTGTTGGCAGGTGTGTAGACATAAAGGTGTACAGTTGTTGGCAGGTGTGTGTACATTACTGACATAAAGGTGTACAGTTGTTGGCAGGTGTGTAGACATAAAGGTGTACAGTTGTTGGCCTGTATCTGTATATTACTGACATAAAGGTGTACAGTTGTTGGCAGGTGTGTAGACATAAAGGTGTACAGTTGTTGGCCTGTATCTGTATATTACTGACATAAAGGTGTACAGTTGTTGGCAGGTGTGTAGACATAAAGGTGTACAGTTGTTGGCCTGTATCTGTATATTACTGACATAAAGGTGTACAGTTGTTGGCAGGTGTGTAGACATAAAGGTGTACAGTTGTTGGCCTGTATCTGTATATTACTGACATAAAGGTGTACAGTTGTTGGCAGGTGTGTAGACATAAAGGTGTACAGTTGTTGGCAGGTGTGTAGACATAAAGGTGTACAGTTGTTGGCAGGTGTGTGTACATTACTGACATAAAGGTGTACAGTTGTTGGCAGGTGTGTAGACATAAAGGTGTACAGTTGTTGGCCTGTATCTGTACATTACTGATATAAAGGTGTACCAGTGTTGACGTCTATGTGTACTTTTCTTCTGTTGTGTTGTGTAGCCCCCTGGATAAAGCTTATCCTATCAGAGACCTAGGTTTGACTCTCATATTGGTTTAATCAGTGTAGTTGAGTATGAGCCTCGCTAGTTTATGGTTGTAAGTTAAATGGGTAAAACTTGCTTGCTCACTCACTCACTCACTCACTCACTCACTCACTCACTCACTCACTCACTCACTCACTCACTCACTCACTCACTCACTCACTCACTCACTCACTCATTCGGTCTGCAACTGGTTTAGTATTTGATTGCAGTTATTGTTTTTATGATCTTTAACAAGTTGTGATGTATCTATTTTTTCACTTGTGGTATAAGAGCATCAGTACCGTTAGATATGAAACTGCTGTGAGAGATTGTTGTTTGGTAACTGACATTATCGCCTGACTCTGGCCCGCAGGCCAGTTGAAATTCTTTCAATGATAGTCCACTGGTTAACTGGTTGGCACTTGGATCATGGACCTGTTGACATGAATAACTGACTTTTCAGAATAATAATTTGATCAGAATCACAGTTTTATGTACCATTCTTCTGTGAGATTTCAGATTTATAACATAAATAAGGACAAAACCACAAGATTTCTTATATTCTTTTTATATACTGACCTTTAACCTTAAGATGATTATAAAGATTCTATCACTTCTCACCAGCAAAATCCATAAACCTAAAACAGGCTTTAGCAGGTTCAGTAGGGATTGATGGTGGATGTTCCACAACCAAAACTTTCACCCAATAAAATGCCTGTAAAGAAGTTATTGTATTGACCTAATGTGTTATTGCTGGTTATTTAATGTGTTATTGGTGATTAACTGGGGATGTTATATGTTGAACACCAATAGAGACAAATATCTACCATACATTGTTTCAAAGATTCTTTGTCCACTTAAATCAAAGCATGTGCATTTATGAAAAATATATACATTCTGTTTTGAACAATTTGTTGTAATTTGTAAAAATATTTAACTTGAATTTTTCCAAACTACAAATTATTGTTTGCTGTGACTTAAATCATATCTTGTCTGTTACCAAAAAAATGGCTTGTGATGGCTTAATCTCAGGAAGGGTTCATTTTCTTCTTGTCAAGCCTTTAGTTATTCTGGGCCTTCTCTCTGTGAACAATATGGATGTAATTAGTGACAGACGATATGAGGTGCATTTACAGGATTGGCTGTTGTTTGTTGGTTTGTTTGGAGATTGACAATATTGAACGTTGCTGTGGCAGATTTGGTGTTACTGATGTTGGTGTTGGTTGTAGGGATGGTGGCCTTGGTGTGGGTGGTGTGTGGGAGGGTAATGGCAGGCTGGGTGTTATGTGTCAGCATTGCCGACAGTGTTTTATGATGCAATGTTGGTCATTATATACGTTCCTTCATTCAATATTGGTGATTATATTGCTTTATGATGCAGGATTGGTGAATATATACATTTCTTTATGATGCAATATTCCGTATTGTATACGTTCCTCATTCAATATTGGTGATTATATTCCTTTATGATTCAGTCACCCATGCTTGTCGTAAGAGGCGACTAACAAGATCGGATGGTCAGGCTTGCTGACTTTGTTGACACATGTCATCGTATCCCAGTTGTGCAGATCGATGCTCATGATGTTGATCACTGGATTGTCTGGTCCAGACTTGATTATTTACAGACCGCTGCCATATAGCTGCAATATTGCTGAGTGCGGCGTAAAACTAAACTCACTCACTCACTTATGATTCAGTATTACCTTTTTCTTTTCATTCAATATTTCCGATTATTTACTCATACCATGCTTCATAAAAGCTTGCTGGCTCATACACTTGCTTGCTCAAAGTAAACCTCTTACACTCTGACAATAATCTCATTGAAGCCTTGACCTGCAACACCAGTAACAACAGTCGGGCTCACACGCTAGCTCACACACTAGCTAGCTCACACACTAGCTAGCTCACACACTAGCTTACACACCAGCTCACACACTAACTAGCTCACACACTAGCTAGCTCACACACTAGCTTACACACCAGCTCACACACTAGCTTACACACTAGCTCAAACACTGGCTCACACACTACCTCACACACTAGCTAGCTCACACACTAGCTCACACGGGGCTGTGGGGTAGCCTGGTGGTTAAAGCATTCGCTCATCAAGCCAATATCTGGTGTCCCCCTCCGTGATATTGCTGGAATATTGCTAAAAGCGGCGTAAATATTAACTCACAAACTTACACACTAGCTTACACATTTTTTCACACACTTGCTGTTAATCCTTACTCTCATACTAGATCCCACACAGATGTTCACACAATAGCTCACATGCTAGCTCACACACTTGGCTGCTCACTTGCTCACACTCTAGCTCATGGTGGCACAGTTGCTCTCATACTAACTCGGACACTTGCTCACACACTTGGTTGCTCACTTTCTAATGTGCTTCCTTCCTGCTATCCTAGCTCTGTTTCACGGTCTTCGCTCCAGCTGAGGGTAAGTCCTGACCTGACTGAACCTCAGATTGATTAATGTCCAGCACTGTTTTCCACAGTGGCCTCAGCTGCTGGTCAGCGATGACCTGACAGAGGACGATACCCAGGAGGAATAACAGTAACTCCTGCCAAATTGATGTACAGTGAGGGACATACTGCTCGGGGTGGTGGGGTGACCTAGCGTGTTTGATGGTTTATTAACGTGACCGTGCCATCACCCATTAGAGATATACAGGACAATATTGAGTACAGAGGACAAAGTGCAGAGTATCATCTAGTGTAGCATGCAAAACACTGCACTGTTGGTATTGATTAAAGCATCTGCAAACAACGTACTAACAATATAATCGCAGTGTTGGGGTAGCCTAGCGGTTAAGTGTTCGCTCATCATGCTGAAGTCCTGGGTTCGATTCCCACATGGTGTGCGATGTGTATGAATTGATGCTATAAGTGGCGTAAAACAATACTCATTAACACAGTTATAGGACAGGGGGACCTATCTCAGAAATTGTGTCCTAATGGAAATAATATGGCTTAATATGGAAATTATTGTTATGAGTAGACCAGTATCTTAGTAATCTATAAAAGGAACGTGTACCTTTCAAAGACTGAAAATGTACATGGCAGTCAAGTGTGTTACTAATGTTTTAAAAGAAAACCACTGCACATAAGTTGTATATAATAGTTTTGTTATTATTATCAAGTAGTTTTAGTTTCAGTGATGTTTGAACAAAGTGTGTTCACTACTATACACTGGATGGTGGGGTAGCCTAGTGGTTAAAGTGTTGGTTTGTCACGCCGAAGACCTGGGTTCGATTCCTCACATGGGTACAATGTGTAAAGCCTATTTCATGGCGTTTCCTTCTGTGATATTACTGGAATATTGCTAAAACCGGCGCAAAACTAAACTC